ATATATATATATATATACACAGTATATGTACATACACAGGCATACATCCAGTGATTGTCAGAAACCCCAGGATCCAAATATCTATTTTTGTGTGGTTGTGAACATGTATATAAATACAAGATTTCTCTAGTAGAATATTAAATAGTAACTGTGGAGGACCATAGACCCGACCCCCAAGACCCAAGGCAAACATAAGGGGGACCAGAGCCACAGACCCCAAGAGAGACCCCAAGCACAGAGCCCCCAAGGCCACCTGCGCAGTGAGAACCACCCACCCACCCCCAGAGAGGAACACAGGATAGAACCAGGAGAGCCCAACCAGCAAACACACACAGAACCCACAGGGCCAATAGCTACGACCGCAGGCCCCGCCGGCCCCCGCCACACTGGAGCAGAACCAGGCATGGACACAGAGACCCGGATYCACAGAGCAGCCCCCCCACCAGGCCAAGGCCCAACAGGGCCAGAGGACCCAAGCCCCACCAGTCAGCCACCAGGCCGAGCCGGCACATGCCTAAGCACCCAGCCCCAGACATTGAGAGCCACCAGCGCACCGGCGGGCAGAGACACACCCCACCAGAGGGCAGTGCCACCAGGGGCAGAGTCCACCACTAGTAGAGGGCTCTCAGGTGAACCAAATAAGGGGGCAGCACGAGTCCCAGCCTGACAAATACTCAATCATACACAAGCACAATCACACAGGCCCACCCTCATTCTGACACCCGCTCTTTCAAAGACAGACAAGAAGAACACCACACCGCACTCACACTCCCGATACACTCTATACCCCCCAGGTCCAGGACATGTACCCACCCCCTACAGAGGGCAGGCGATATCCGAACCCAGGAGGCAAGCCCATTCATTCTGGGGTGTGGAAGAGCAGACAGCCAAGGCCCAGCCCGGGCTGCACCGGGCCAGCCGGGTGGCCCCCCGCCACAGCAAAGCAACACCCCCAACCACCCTACACCCCGCCAACGGCCAGGCGCACACCCCCAGCCGACCACCAGCCAGACCCCGGCAGCCACCCCAGCCAGCGGGCTAACCATGGCAACCAGGGGCCACAATCCGAGACCCCGAACAACCCCAGGAAAGACAGACCACCAGCCACACCCCGGCACCGCCCCAGGACACCGAAACCATCCGCAGCCCAGGACCCCACCCGACGGTCCGCCCCTAATTGTAACCCACCCCCAAGCGGCCATCGCAGAGCAGGGTAGGTCAAGAGAATAAAAGAAAAAATAACAAAGACCCCGACACCCCCACCCCTAGATGTGCTGTTGATGCATGTTGTTCTAAAGTGCAAATAAAATGGGTAAGAAGAGGAGAATAATGTAACAGAGAGCAGTAACTTAGATGGTCTTGTTTATAATATTACAACTTTAATACAAACTTCTCTTGATGGAATTGCTCCACTAAAAAAGAAAGTYATCKATCAGAGGAAGCCGACTCCTTGGTTTAATTCAGTTATGTTCTTTAAAACAGGCATCTAGAAAACTAGAGAGAAAATGGCGCTTCACTAACATAGAARAATCTTATTTAACCTGGAGGCACAGCCTGCTAACATATAAGAAAGCCCTTCGTAAAGTTAGAACTGTATATTATTCATCTTTAATAGAAGAGAATAAAAACAATCCTAGGTTTCTGTTCAGTACTGTAACTAGACTAATGAAAAGTCATATCTCTATTGAGCCATGTATCCCTATAACTTTAAGTAGTGATGACTTCATTAGATTCTTCATAGATAAAGTAATTTTATTAAGGATGTAGGGGTCACCTCGAGTCACATTATCAAGGAACTATCTTGGACTCTCAGTCCTCTGATGGGCCTTCGAATGGACAAAAACTCTGTTCCACTTAGAACTGTATTTAGGCCACCCAAGGCCACTTTCCTTCTAAATCAGATAAAAACAGAAGAATCTTCTCTTATTTGATTCAGTGTTCTCTTAACTGAAAGTATTAATGTTTTACTTGTCTGAATCATATTTGCAAATGTTTTGAACTTGAAGCAATTCATTTTTCTTTCACTTATGTTTTAAATAAGTACTCATCAGATAATTTAAATGGGTCATGAAATGTGTTGTTCTAAACCACACAGCAGCAGCAATATTCTTTGTTTTAGTKWCTGGAGTGYGGTGGCCCGGAGGGCACAGCAAGTTCTGAAACTAACACATTCCTTGATAACTTCTTTTCTAATCTAACCTTCTGGAGGGCGGACCATAGATTCTCTAAGCTTTTAGAAAATAACAGTTTCCGCCCGTCTAGGAGAGAAAAGACAGAGAGTAAAGGTGACTGACCGCCGTCAGTCACTGTGACAGCTACATTCGTTTGCAAAAGTATTCATACCCCTTGAACTTTTCCATATTTTGTCACATTACAAC